GTCATCTGCAAAGAAGAGATGGCTCAGGGTTGGGCCACCTCTAGAAAGATGAATACCCTGCAGGTCACCAGAAGCAACAGCTTTTTTGATGAGGCAAGAGAACAGTTCAGCAACAATGATGAAAATGTAAGGAGATATTGGGTCTCCTTGTCTAATGCCCCTAGAAGGAGCAACAAAACCACTCACAGAGCCATTAATATTAAAAGAATAGTGAGGAGAAGAAACACAAGCCATGATCCAGTTAACAAATTTCACATGAAATCCCATCTTTATCATTATTTTCCTAATGCTAGCCCACTCAATTCTATCAAAAGCCTTTGCCATATCAAGTTTCAGAGCCATCAAGAATTTAGAACCAGTAGAGTGCCTGTTTAGATAGTGAATGGCTTCATGAGCAACCACTACATTATCCATGAGGCTTCTACCAGGAATGAAAGCATTTTGATTATCAGAGATGCAGGAGTTCAGACAATGTTTAAGTCTAAAGGCCAAGATTTTAGAAATGATTTTGTATGGAACCCCACACAAGCTGATAGGCCTATAATTTGCCACCTGAGTGGGATTAAGGCATTTAGGAATCAGAGTAATTGTTGTGTGGTTCCAACTTTTAAGAATTTGGCAAGAATCAAAGAAGCTTTGAATGGCAATGCAAAGATCAGACTTAATAATGTACCAGAATTTTTGGTAAAAAAGAGGGGACATACCATCTAGGCCTGGAGCCTTATTGGGATTCATGCTGTCAAGCACTCTCTTTATCTCATTTTCTCCAACTTGAGCTAAGAGAGACCTGTTGGTAGAACTGCTGATGGTGGAGGTAATGCAGTCTAAGAGGCCTTCAGGTTCCCATGTACCCTCTGAGCAGAAGAGGTGACTGTAAAAGTCAACAATGCAGCTTTCAATGTCTTCCTTGGATTCACAAATCACATTATCCTCTCTGAGAAGCCTGGAAATTTGGTTGGTTTTCCTCCTTTGCATAGTGTAGGCATGAAAGAAGTGGGTGTTTTTGTCTCCTGATTTAAGCCATTGAATTCTGGACTTCTGGTGCCAGAAGGATTCTTCATCTCTGTGGGCTTTGTCCAACTGGGATTTCAGTCTATGCCACTTTTGCCAGTCTCTATCCCCTCCCTGAGATCTCAGGATTTCCAATTCTTTTGTAATATCAGCAATCTTTTTAGAGTTTTCAGTTTTGAAGTTCCTACTCCACTTCAGAAGAGAGATTCTTGTATCTTTGATCTTGCTCTGAACTTGGAACATGGGCGTGCCTGAGTGCTGGGAAGTCCACACCTTAGCAATGACTTCTTGGATTCCATCTTTAGTTATCCATCTCCTATCAAAATAAAACCTTTTCTTAGGCTTGGAAATATTTGAGGTGTCTGAGAGGAGGATGAGGTTGTGATCTGAGGAGCTTCTACAGATATTGACAGAGGAAGTAAGAGGATGATGGGTGAGCCATCCAAGAGAAGAGAAAAATCTATCCAGCTTTTCTTCCACAAAAAGGTTTCCCATTCTGTTGTTACCCCAAGTATAAGGGTGGCCTGCCATAGGGACTTCAAGCATGTTCATTTGAGCAATAAAATTTCTGAATCCCCAAAAACTGCTCTCAGATCTTTCTCTTCCACCCTTTTTTTCTTCACTACTGCAGATGTCATTCCAATCCCCCCCAATTATCCAAGAGTCACCCCAATTGTCTTTAGCATTCAGAAGATACTCTCTTTGCAGTTCTCTTTCACTGGCCACAGGACTGATGTAGACAAAAATTGCCCATTGAGTAGAAGGTAATGAGGGATGCTGGTACTCAACTTCTATACAAAAATAGTGGGATATAATGCTGGTGATAACAATGTCTCTGTTCCATAACAAAAGAAGGCCACCACTTTGACCAGTGGGGTCAATGGCTAAGGAATGATCAGCAAAACCAAGCTTTTTACTAACAGTATTAACAAAAGCAGAAGATTTCCTAGTTTCAGAAAGGAAAGTAAACCATGGGAGGTGGAGTTTAATGGACTCCTTCAGCTGGGGAACTGTAGAGGGTCCTCCCAGACCTCTACAGTTCCACACCATAGCTCTCATTTGTCACTTGGGAGCCAATTCAGGCTGGCTGCCTCCACCTTAGCAATGGATTGCTTTTGTTTTTTGGTAACTGGTGCAGGGTTTCCCTGGAACTGGGATATGTGACTAGAGGGAGTGGCTTCATCAGATTGCAGTCTGCCCCTTTTATTCGTATGGCTGCCTTTGAGGACTGAGGTATTTGGTTTAGAGGAGGTGAGAGATGTGGAAATGTTGGGTTTCCTGGTCCGTTTTTTGGGGTGGGCTTGTTTTTGTATGGTATTCTTGACAGTGGCTGTGGAATCTATCAACATGGTTAAGTTATCAGGAGCAGGTGGTTGATCTGGACTTTGAATAAGCATTATATGAGATGGAGATAGGGCAAGAGGTTCGCTATTAATAGGTTGTGGGGTTGGCTCACTGCTGGCATTGGCATTGGAGGTATTTATAGGAGTTGGGTTGATTGGGTTAATGAGAGATAGGTTTGTATCTGGGGTGGAATGATTGGAAGGGTCGGAATGAGCAGAGGGAGTGGGGTTGCTATTGTTATGAATGTTAGGATTGGAGTTTATATCAGGAGAAGGGGAGGGGGAATGGGTAGAGGTACCTGAGTGATTGCTGAGATTTCTGGCTCTGAAAACCGATTGAGAGTCTGGAACTTTGATCCACTCCCCAAATTGGCATTTCTGGGGATTTCCAGCTTCAATATCTGCAGTCCTTTTCGAACATGATCTTTCTAAGTGCCCAATAAAGCCGCAGTAATAGCAGAAATTTAGGAGCTTCTCATACGTGAACATAATCCGCTGCACTTTGCCACCTAATTGGACATTAGCACATCTGAGTAGAGGCTCCTTAAGATTTATAGTGGCCAGGAATTTAATACACCTGCCATTTCCCGTGGAAGAGTTACAGATTATCACATCTTTAGCGTTCTTGAAAGCTTTGCCAATTTTGATGCCAACTTCTATGCTCAGCCAGTTAAGAGGAATACCATCAGCTTGGATCCACATATCCATTTCAGCGAAGCAATCGTGATCAGCTTGTATGTCTTCCTGCCAATCTTTGAGGAGGAGATATTGATTTTCATAGGACCAATTCTTTCCTCTAGCCACCTTCTTTTTGTCTTCAAGATTTTCAAAGATGAATTGGAAGAAATTATGTTTGAGCTCTCGCACCTCCATTTGGTGTCGGATCTGCCATATTTGTGTCATAGTTTTTCGTAGCCCATAGAGATGAGCTTTTCTATCTCCGATGATTTTGCCAAAGAGACTGCGCTCACACTCTTCTGCGCTCGTTGTGACATCTCCTTCCTGAAGGGGAATAATGTTTTCTTCTTTTTGACTGAGGTTGCACTCTTTGAGCTTATTCTCGAGAATATCCATGGAGCCCAGACCGAGAAAATGAGATTGAGAGTCTTGATTGAGCTACCCAATTGACCTGATGGAGGAGAAAAGGAAACCAGAACAAAATAGGGCCTCCAAGGCAAACCCTAGAAAAGTGAATAGGGAAATAACGAGGAGGAGAAAACAGAAGGATGAGAAAAAAACTGAAGGAAAGAGAGAGAGAAAAAGCGATGACCTTAATCTAAATCTTGATATGGCGAGAATGGCAGTTCCTTATTGGCCTTCCGATGAAGGAATTACGGCTCTCCGTTGAGAGAAGAAAGCTCCCCATTCATTAAATATTTTTTAATAGCTTAATTAACTCGTAATCAACACTAAATCGGTACTTTAGGTTGATTAAATCTTGTGATCAACATGTCGGTTATTTCGTAATTGAATGTTTGACATAACCTCTAGTTGTGTTAGACTTAGCTCGTTTGTCTTTGTTTTCGTATTTTCTCGAGTTTTGAAGACTACGTCTTAGGTAAAGTTTAAATCTTTGGTTAAAGCTTGCATCTTTAGTTAATCACTTTTAAATTCCTAGTTAAAACTAGCTTAAACTCAATCATCCAAACTTGATTAGAGTGTTTAGGACATTTGTTTTCCATTTTTGGTGCCTTGATGACTAGTTAGTGAACGATGCTCCGAATAGTCTTTCTTGAGAGACAATTCGAGGTTCCAAATTATTCGGTTATCAATCAATTTCCTAATTTTATAGACATCGAACCTCGTGTCACATGTCATGAGAGGAGTTCCGAAAGTGAGTCAACATCAACTAACTGAGCCTTACTTGACTTGTTCATCAATTGAGCCTAGTCTGGTCGAACTCATGCGTGGCTCATTTCGTTAACAACTTCATTTCGACTTTAGTTGGACCTCGGCCCATTTTTAGATGAACCTTATATGTGAATAGAAAGATACCTTTTCACTAAGCCTGTATTTAACATATGGTTGAAAAGATGATTGTTGGTTAGAGATCCACTTTAAAATATTGTCAAACACAACATTTGAATCCTTTGGACCCAAATTCTTGTGGCGAAATTTCAAGATAACCACAAGATAATAAAATTATTTAATTCTTACGAGGTGGTGTTTTTATTTGCATCTATACCTAAAAAAATATATTTATTTGGGTTGATTAAAAAAAGATTAGTTATCAAATTAAAATGTTCCCGACAATCACGCCAATTACAAAAATCTTCCTCATAATTACAAAAGATATAATATACATAATATACATGATTACAAACACACGATGAGACATATACAGAAGATATACTTATTATATACACGATGAGACTTATATACAGAAGATATACTCATTATATACACGATGAGACTTATATACAAAATATATACTCATTATATACACGATGAGACTTATATATAGAATATATACTCATTATATACAGACGACATAAATAAAAATACACATAATAAATCAATCTTGTCATTATATACAAATTATATACAGAAGATATTCAGAAAACACAGAAAATACAGAATATATACAAAAAGCCTTCTCAGAGCCGGGGGGCTTGTTCTTGTCCGGATGGACTTTCAGGGACAACTTTATGTATGCCTTCCGGATTTCATCCACGGTGCAATTCTTTTCCAGGCCTAAAATCAAGTAATAATCTTTTTTAGTCTGAATTTGACGGACCATGTGCACGTGCTCCTCCGTGTAGCTTCTCTCGCCATTCAAAAACCTGTCTCTATTGACGGAAGCTTCCTCATCCTTCTCGTCCGGAACATTTTTCTTCACGCCATTGGACGGATTAGAGGAGGAAGACGATGGGTCTAGATTCTCGCACGTAGATAGAAGATCATCAATAGGTAGGTTCTGATTAAGACGGCGTGTGATTCCGAGGAATTTGAGTGCTTTTTGCTTGTTGTCGACGGCGATTGCCTCCTTGACAATGTTGATGCATATCACGGCCTCGTCTTTGTTGCTATCCATAGAGATTTCCTAACAAACACTGCGATTTTATTTGAGAGAGAAAATAGATCTCAGAAGAGAGAGAAAGTGGTAACGCCATTTGTTGGTATAATTGCATAAAGAAAATAAATGGTTAGTAAATGTGCAAATAAAATTGCTTTAGATGGTAAGTGGTGTAATTTTCTCTATTTGTGTTTTGTATAGTCCACTTATATTTTTCTTTTCTTTTCTTTTCTTTTTTCCTCCTTAGAATGGATATGTATATTTGCTATCGGATTATCTACCTCAATATTATTAATTTTATATAATACAAAAAAAAATAAAAACTTTCACATAATTTTCAACAAAATTCATTATTTATCTATTTACATATTTTTAACTAGCAATCAATTCCAATTATCTATCTCCTACTTTTATATAAGTATCAATTTTAATCATTATATTTGAATTCGTATCCAAACACAAACTCAATATTCAACCAAAATTTCCTCTCAATCATTTTTTTTTAATTGACTCATTTTATCCAATAAATAAATTTAACTAAAAAAACTTACTTCTAATAGGACAGAATATCGGAGAGCTTAATTGAATAAAATTTGAACTAGCTCTTATTGAATGTAAATTTTATGGCTTCAAATTTTTCACAAAAACACTTAAAATAGAAAGAAAAAATAATATGAAAATTGTGTGGAATATTATCAACATCTATATATATATAATTGCTGGCAAACTTTAATAAATTTTATTCAGCCAACAATTAATAAAAATAGAACTTCATTTAATAAAAATCTTTATGATAATAAATTTTATTCAGTCAACAATTAATAAAAATAAGACTTCATTTAATAAAAAATCTTAATGACCAGCATTCAAATGACAGTTACACAAGTAAAATATTTTTATTATTAATTTTTTATTCTGTAACAGTTTTACAAGATCTTGAATTTTCTGAATATACAATATTAAATTATTACAGTTAATATTCCTATTGTTTTATAGTTATACAAAAAAAAATTGATTTATATGAATGTTAAATAATTTTTATTTATATTATACATTTACATATACTCAAAATTTTAAAATGTAATACACACTTTATCTAATTTAAATTTAAATTTTTAAATATCATATATATACATATAATATATAATTTTTTGTTTCCCTCTGTCCATGTGCACAGGATCGAATACTAGTTTGTTCGAAACATTAGGAGAATCATGAATAACGCCTTAGGCTTGATGTACCGTGTTAATTTAACAATATCCTGATTAATTCACATATAAAATTAAGAAAAATGCTACAATTCCGTTACAGAACCATTCCGTTGGAATTTGTAACCGTTAGATCATCAAGTAACCGTCAATGATAGTTAATTTAACGGTTACAAATCCCAACGGAATAGTTCCGTAACGGGATTGTAGCTTTACCCAAAAATTATTTCATCTAGTATCAACTATCACGTACGAAGTTTGAGTTGAAAATAAGCCTTTATTTTCTATTTAAGCCGCATTTTGTAACAATTTATTTGTTTATAAATTGTTGTGTAGACTATAAATTAGACCAGGGTGGCATTTTCTTTGTGTACCACTCCCCAATGGGCCGTGTAGCCCGGTGAATAAAAAATAAGCTAATACATACACTATTTTATATTTTATATGTAATACGCTATATTTGTTAGGCTACAATTAATTTTATCTCTACACTCCCAAAACAATAATAAACAAAAAATGTACGGTCCATCGTTTAGGAAAAATTACTAAAATGTTAAAAAAAATCTATGTGTGATTTTAGGATAAATTAAAAAAATAATTGTAAATTGTACATATAAAAATTTATGATTTTTGTCACCCAAAATTAAGTTTAAATGGCTCAAATATTGGTTATCATAGAGGGAAATTTTACCTGTGCTACACGATTTGTTAATAATTGCAACTTTATAACTCATACTAATTAATTTGTGTATATACTTAAAAGATAAAAAGTAATTAGATACATGCCTAAAATCAGTTACACGATAATGGGACAACCTTCCATGTTTCTAGCGCATAATTTCAGGACTCAAGATGGAAGGATATCACATTTGAATTTGAATTCATAATCTTCAGTGATACCGAAAACACGCAGGCGAGCAGACGCTCTTCATTAATAGAAAAAAAAAACACAGTTGGTTTGTCGATCGATTCTTCGACATACGCTCTTCATTAACAGGAAAAAAAAACGTGGGGGTGTCGATCAGAATCTTTAGCGAGCACTCATCACTGAAAACAACACTCAAGAACCAATACATATATATTGTACATATACTTACATATATACTGTACATACTGTACATATATACTTACATATATTGCACTCATCGGGAGGAAGCAAGTCATATATACTGTACATATACTTACATATACTGTACATATACTCCAATCCAATGTCTACAAATTTCAACGTAATGACTAATCTACACATAGTCTAAAACCCTAAAAAATCGAAGCAAAATTCAAATTTTTTGCAACCAACCATTCATCTCCCCCGATTGTGGAGACGCCGAAACCCTCTTTAGAGGACGCCGTCGCTGGCGGTAATTGAGGAAATCATGCTCCGGAATATATTCATCTTCTCTCTCATCGACTCCATAGAAAAAGGTTCTCGCATCGCCTACATGTAGATGACGACCGCGGGGATGACTCGGTAGACGATCTCATCGAGGGAGTAGGACTCGGTGGAGGACGGCGTTGAAGGGGACGTACTTGACGGAGAAGCCAGGCGTGGCGGCGGACTTGTGCGAAGAAGATAGAGAGAGTGCCGTGTATGAAGAAGAGAGAGCGGGGGGAGGGGGGAGGAGAGAGGCGTAGTTGATGGAAGTTACCATCTAAATAAGAAATCAGTTTTTGATAACCGATGGACTCATATTAATTCCTCCATTATCTAGTAACAATACCATAAATATGAAAAACAAATTTTTAGGCATATATGAACATAAAATTAATAAATTCAGTTAGTTTGTAAATCTATACTTATATAAAAAGAATTACTATTTACTAAATATAGCAAGCAAAACAAATTTCAAAATTTCTAGATAAGGAAAAGATAGAAGTTTAAATAAAATATGATTGTTTTAACAAACTTATAGGGAAAACAGAA